TATATATAAACTTATTCAGAGTTGAATTCCTCATATCTGTGTGAACTTAAGAAGAATAAATAGAGGAAATGCTAAACCTCACTCCTGATGAAAGGCTTGAATGTCCTGCTGCTGTTTGGACAGATTTGGACCAATTTTCTGTCAGGACACAGGCTGGGAGACCTGTTGGATGTACATGTTCTCTATTTAGAGCAAAGTCCCTCCCTTGTGGGTAAATGTTTGAGGTTTGTCTTATTTAAGTTAAGAAAAAATGTGGTAAGAAAGATGATCAGATATATACAGTATCAGATATAAAGAAACTCCACGGTCACATTAATGCTCTGACTTTAAAATATAATGTCTGTCAAAATATGCAATTCTAACACAATGTTTCCATTTTAACATGATTGCTTGGGGTTCATAGCTTCACACTTATTCTCCATCCACTCTAATGTTTTCTGTGATTAACGGGTTTAGAGTCCTGTAAGTCCTTTCTGATGAAGCCAGCAGACAAACATACCATCTATGGTTTGTTAAAACAGCTGAGATCCTGCAGCTATTTAACTATTCATTCAGTTCTTATTCTGGTGTCACATCCCAGCATGGAAACCAACGACAGGAGACTCACAAGGCAAAAAAATAAAATAAATTAAATTAATTGACACCAGGAAGAGAGGTGCCAAAAATAGAAACACTGGAAATGAATATTCATGAGCCACTTCAAACTAGACTCAAGATCCCTCAGGTAGCAGTCTCATCCAAGTTACATAAAACCAATGAATGATGCCATTATACAAAAAAAAAATACAAATAAAAATGCTGGGAGAGGAGATAAGCAGCAGGTTGTCAATTTAACATTTATCTTCCCCATGCAGCTGTAATCACATGAACACAACAGACTGACATTTGCAAAGCAGAGCAGCAGACTGAACATGCACACAAGAGTATGACATTTAGGTATCCTCCAAACAGCCAGTTGGCACAGCAAAACAACAGGTCGGACAATTTACAGGAGAGAAAACAAAATGACTGGAGAAAATGTTTAAGAAAAAGACCCAGTGTAGCAGAATCCTGAAGCAGCAACATGGATGATGGGTCTGAAACAGGAAAGCATTTTCACAGAAATACTCTGGCCCATTTATTTCAATCCTGACTGATGGATTAATGGACTAAAAAATCCACATTCAGACACCAATGTATATCTTAAAATGTACTAATTAGACCACGTATGGGACGAGGCAAGTGGGCAGAACTAGGAGTTAAGATATTAAAGAGAAAAAATTACAAACCCACTTTTTATTTCCTTAGCACAAAACTAAAGAAATTAGTGTTTGGTAGATTATTTCTTTGTTGTAACAATGCTTCAGGGCATTAATTCCTATACTGTGGAGCTGACTGGTCATCAATAGCATCCATGAAGTTATTACGCAGAGAAGATTTGGCTAAATTTTAATGTGCTCAACTCGCATCCTCAGCTCTACTGCTCATCCTACAAATGCATGTTCCTTACAAATGTGGCACCATTTAAAAGTGAAATCAACAAGCTTTCCAATGGTTCTGTTAGGATTTCTGTGTTTTCATTATTTCCCTGATAGTCCTTGGGTCTGGTGAAAAAATATGTCCAATTGGTATCATGAGAGGGAACTATTTGGGGCCATGCTTTTTGGTTAGCTACATGTCAGAGGTGAATGAAAATATATGACGGCCATCTGTTGTGAGAAGCTTTATATGAGAAATTAAGCTTATTTTAGGTTACCCCTCAAGAAAAGAGTTAAGGGCAGATTTGGCAAAACCTAAATCAAACAAATGTAACATTAACATACACCTTTAAAATTTGTATTTTCATATCGTTTTTTTACTACATTCTATCACCACTGTACATTTTAACCTTGTTTTAAGCACTTGAAATGGGCAGTAATAATTTTTGAATCATCATTCTACTACTGTCCGTGTCAGCACTTTCCCTTATTTTGCAAATGACTGGACGTTACAAACTGCTGAACACCTGTTTAGAAGACTTTTCAAAAGTACTATTTTCTCCACAGATTCTCTGAAGGAGACTTGTGTCATCACTAACTGAAACAGAGATGTGGAACAAATATTGTGCTTCTTTCAAATGTCTTTCCCTACATTACTCAGCACTTTACTGTGCATCATTTTCTGCATGAACATTGTTATTATACGACATAAAATCTCCTGTTTCTCAGTCTTCCATACACCATGTTGCAAGTATTGAACAGCAGGACAAACTTTCAACTGTTTTATCAGATCATCTATTTTTATCCTGTTTGGCATCTAATCATTTATTATTGACATGGTGCTGAATGTTTTAATTCATTCTTAACATGTTTTTACTGCATCTCTCTGTTTATTATTATTGTCTTCGGTATATTTGACGTATCTTAAAAAAACGCATCAAATAGCATTTAACTAAGAAATTTAAATGACACCATATATTTTTGTCATTACTTTGAGTCTATCTAAACATTTATACAAATTTGTTTTTAGTTCCTTTATTGATACCAATTTTTCTCTGGCCCAAGGACTGAGTCTTTGTGTTTTTGTTTCTTGTTTGGTTTAGTTTCATTTCCTCCTGCTTTGTCAGTCCCTGTGCCACTTTTATTTACTCTCAGTCAGCTTCTCAGTACGTTTCCACTCTATCTGCCACTCTCGCCTGTTGTTGCTTCTAATCGGTATGGCTGCACATCATATCTCATTAGTCCTTTTATTTAACTGGTTTCTCTTCAACACTTACTTGTCAGACCATCGTTTGGTACAGGTTGTTTGCACTCTGTCGCTCCCAGTTTTCCTTGTTTCGTATTGCGTTGTTTTATATTATTAAAGTACTTGTATTTACTTTCTGTGAGATGTCT